CCTAAAATAGAGGGGAGATATATATATATATATATATATATATATACACACACACACACACACACACGCACGCGCGCGCACACACACACACACAATATAAATAACAATATAACAGTTTGGGGACTGGAATGGATTAATTGCATTTCCATTTTACATTACAAATGGGGGTCACTGAACCAATTAAGTTTGTAACCCGAGGTACCACTGGACATTTCTCATCTGATCTCAACAACAGGTTTCTTCATTTCCACGCACTTTCCCCACTGACTCCATTTTTGTAAAATTTTTTTTTTTGAAATCTCCCAAATTAATCCTTTAACTTTGATAGCCCTTTGTGTCGGGTTTGTGTCAAGTCATAATAATGTGGGACCATACAGTATGTGCGGCGCCTGTACCTGTACATTTTTTAAACTGTGGCCCTTTTCATTATTTGATTAAATAGCCCTGCCCTACATTATGGAATTAGGAAACATATGCAGCCCATTTGCCATTTAATTTCATGGCCATTCCAAATGAATTTAGGCTGCAGGGGTCACATTTACACAAAAAGGGTTTTACCTACAGTAGTCCATGATTGACTTCCCAGCCATATTATTTATCAGTTACCTTTTCTGAATACATGGAGGCTGAGCTGACAGGGTTTATGACCACCATGTTGGATCCGGCATAGGAGTGGATGAGGTTTCCTCCATAACGCTGCCGCAAGCAATGCATCACACTGGATTCATTAAGATAGAGCAGCGAAGCCAGATCCTCTGACCGATCGTATGATGGAGGGTTGGCCTGAGAGAACCACATAAAGTCAAAAAATAAATATTTGCATCCATCGAAAAATGTGCAGCAAGCTACAAAACAATCAATTTAGAGAAGTTTCCATGTCATTCAGAAGTGAGAAATGTGTCAATTTATAGTTATTTTATAAGACCTTTGTAGTTATGATGAGTAGTATACTACTACCTACTACTACAATGTTTTTGAAATTGAAATTTGGAAACTTTATGTCAGCAGCATCGGTTCAGTAAAATATTTCACCATTATTTTGTGAGGCAATATGGACAACCTTCCCTGTACGTTTCTAAGTTTCAAGTCCTTATTAAAATAATTACTATGGGTTTGGAAAAGAGTTAATAGATATGCACAATTGAAACACATCTTCTATCTAGGTTAAACTGTATTTATGATGTAATCTGATAACAAACAGAACTATACTGTAGATTATCACCATATGTGCGTGCGCAGGTGTGTGATCCGGCTCACTGTGATGTGAAATGTGAAAATATCAAGATGAGTGTGAGTTGAAATTCCCCTTCAGGAAGTATAATGAGTTTCATGAAACATTTTAAAAGTATTTGGCAATAATTGAGTCCATACGAACTCTTATTTATTGGAGCGATACGCAATGGGTAAAAATCGCTGATGTAGAGTGACCATATTAAAAATACATCTCTACCCGCCCACCCACTTGACATACATTGTAAATATATTTGAATACAAAAATTGAATTGCAAGCTGAAAATGTAGAGAAAATACTGTACATATTTAGTGACTGTGTAAATGCATGTGCCTTTTAGAGGTGGAGCCTCATGGGGTGGCATGTGACATCAATATGCCTACGTGTGAGTGTCTGAGCGTGAGCTGTGGCCAACAGCAGCTCACGTGTGAGGTGTGTTGCTGTGTTTTAATGGCTTGAAAATTGTACTGGCAACGGTGGCTCTCCTTTCCCACACACGAGGTCATTACCTCGGCATAATTTAACCCTTTCATGCACCCTGAAATCCGATAACACGATAAGCTGTCCACTGTAGTAACCACTGTCCCATGCAAAAAACAAATTGTTTAAAAATGCAATATAGAGGGGGCACCAACAATGAACTGTGATTTAGCGGGGGAATACTGTCGAGAGATGAGGCAGACATTGATTTTTCTTCACTCACCTTTTCGATATCATCCTCATCCACTTCCAGTATTGTCCCATCGTGCTCTAGTTTGATTTTCACCTTGCCTTCTAGCAGGGAGCCTGGCTCTGTCTTGACCACCGTTGCTGGGCAAATAGCAAAGAGGGTAATAGCACACGTTAGCTAGCATACATGTGTGTGGGCCATGTGCAGATTTAAGGTGTTCCCCACCACGTGGCGGGAAGTACATAAGAATGAAATGGTTTATCAATGAACAGCAATTCAATTACTAATTACATTTCCATTTAAAATATTATAGAATAGTACCCCCCCTCCCTCACTTTTATCATCTTACAGAAAGATGTCAAAGCCTGGGGAGAAGTTTAGGCCAAACAAAAAAGATCCGGTAACATGAAATTTCAGCATAGGGTCGGTAGGTCGGACAAAGTTGTTTTTTTTTTTTTTAATCTTTTTTTTTTCCCCCCCATCAAAAATTTAAACAAAATAACCATAAAACAAGAAGACATTGAACCCGCTGCTCCGCGGCTGGCGCCGCCCGTTTAGT